ACTTGAATCCCTTGACCTACTGGCCCAGAGAGGAGAGTGTAACCAAGTCACTCTGACAATAAACACAGAAACTATTAATAAGATAACTCTCTGGCTCCAGCAATCTCAGCATTTTAGACATAAGGAGGATGCCAGGTGAAAAGAATATAGTAGTGACAAAGGGTTAAATGAATGTGAACTGGGCAGGATCCTGCTACTGTGATTCTTTTCCATTGTTTGCTATGACGTGCAGCTGTGCAGAGAGAGAAGGTTTTAAGGGGACCCAGAATCTGGGAATACACTGCTTTTAAATGGCTAAAGCTGATCTTTAGATAGTGTTCCTGCCCACTTCATTGTTAATACTTCAAGGCATCCGTGTTTTATGTAATCTCAATTTTAATGTCAGCAAAACTTGATTACAGAACCTCTAAAAGTGAATTTGCAGAAGGGGACAGTGCAGTTTCCTTTTTTTAGTAGCACTGACAAAAGCAGGGGAGGGAGGACTTGGCAGCCAGCAGGTTAGAGCCTGGCATGTCAAATAGGTACTAAAGAAGGTTATCAAACTGGTGTAAATGCTGCACAGAACGTTACCTGTCCAACTCAGGACATGTTTGAAAGGGTGCTTGCTACAAGGGGATTAGGACAGTGGAGTGCTTGATCCTATTCCCAGAAGCAGCAGCCAAGTACACCACATTCAACACTAGAAGTTGTGAAGGGCACACAATTAAAGCTGGTAACCCAAAGGGAATGTGTTCTCCTTCTTAGATTGCTACGCTTTCCTAGAGGGACACCATTAAAATAGAAGGGGTGGCTGCAAACACACTCTGACAGCCAGTACATCTGAAAGGTCAGATTAGATTGAACACTTAGTCTTTATCCATTAGCAGAAGCTAGTAAATCAGAGAGTAGCAATGGCCAAGAAATAGCTGTGTCTTTGTTACTTAACCATGTCTTAAACCAGATTGAAAGGGCTCCAGGAAATCTGAGGGCTCTAGATAATACTCTAGATAATGTGAGAGCTGCTTCTCCACGACCTATTTGATAACCCTCCGCACATAAGGATGTTTACAGGCTGGGTGGCAACTCAGATATTTAGCTGTGCTGAGATGACAACTTTATGAAGTAAGAAAAATAGCACAGCATTTTATTGTTGTTGTCATCGGATGTGGGTGCAGCTTTGAAAGGTTGCTGTAGCAGTTCTGTCAATAGGACTTTTTGGAAATAAAGATTTTTCTGGTTAGGCCCCAGGCTGCATTAATTGTTTGGAGGGTGTAATTCTTCATCTGCTGTTAATAGCTTGCTAGAAAAAAACAAGACATGAAGTGTTCTTGGAACAATCTGTTCTAAAAGCCTAGGACTACACCAGGTGGAAGTTATTTTAGAAAGGTTTTTGCTTTGAAGGGCTGCTGAACAGTCCAGTGTTTGTGTTTGGTGTGTCTCTGCTCATAAAAGCTGGATATTTTCAGGGTATAGCATAATGGACTTCTCTCCTAGACTTCTAGCTTGCTATTCTCATACCCTAACAAGAAGCTCACATTTGTTGGCATGAGAGCACACGCAGTGCTTTCCTATAGTCTCTAATCACCTTTCCAGTTGTCTTGTCCATTAGAGGCAATAGAGGTACTCCTGGAATTCAGCAGGTTCTTCCCATTTGGAGGAAGCAAAAAGAGTTTCTTTGGATGTACAGGGAAACATAATTCTCTTACTTTCTAAAATGCTTTGTCTCATTTAAACAGTCTGCATGGATATGCCTCCAAGCTTTGTTGTCACTTTTATCTGTTATATGTCCAACTCACCCCATGGAATTGAAAAAGAAAAAAGAGGAAGAAATCAAAAACCTTCCTACACTTGAATATGTTGAACACCTTTGAAGCAGATCTTAATGTTTATTAGTTCTTGCTTTACCCTGATTTTGAAAAGTTAAAGAAAATTTCTTTTATATTTTTTGTGTGAATTAGCATTCTGTTGTTTTTACTAAATATGTCTGATAATTAAATTCTATTTCAATTTATTTTTAGCAAATCATAGAACCATAGAATAATTTTGGGCTGAAAGGGATCTTTAAAGATGATCCAGTCCAACCTCTCTGCCACAGGAGGGGACTATATTAACATGATGCCTGGAGAAAGTCTAGTATAAGCATTCTCATTTTTCTCACTCTGTTTAAAGAATCTTCAGCAGTTTATTTTAGCTTCCAGGAAACTAATAGCAAATTATCTTAGATGATTACATAACACTATAATTCTTCTCTATTTCTGGGGCAAAGAACTATACATTGAGAAAAATTCTGATGTTTAATTACATCAAATGTTCAAGACATTATATGAGAGGAACCTATTTACCTTCTGCTCCTGCAATAGCTACATCCTTTTTAATATTTCTGCAAGGTGAGGGAGTATTTCTTTTCATATTTTACAGTTGGTGAACTGATTCTCAGAGAGGCCAAGAACTTTGCCAAAGTTCATAAAGAAATCAGTGGTGAACAAGAAACCAAAGTGAACTCTCCTAGGACAAGACTAGCACTTTAACAATGTCTGGCATTGCTCTCTGTCCAACATCCGCTTGATTTTATCTATTCTTTCATGAACGTTCTGTTGTTCTTATAGTCAGAACTTAAAATGTTTTCCCCATTTACAGTGTTTGTTCTCTAAAGAACTTGTCAAAGTCTTCTGGTTTTCTTCATCTTTGAGTGAGAGGGCAGTGTTAGAAGTAGCAACCATTTAACCTTCCCAAGATATATCCCTCTTTTCCTAGTTCCATGCAAGCATCTCAAACTACTCTGCCAAACCCCATATATAGCAAAAGTGAGAGAAAGCAGGGAGTGTGTTCCCTTCTACTCCACCAGTTTTGGTCCACACATAGTAGAACAATCTCTGTGTGTTGGTGGTGGTGCAGATTTTCTTCCGGTCCCACCCCTTCTGTGAATTGGCAATGGTAGCCCCAGTTTCCTGCACTAACACTTTGTTAACAGCTTGCATTTCATGAGCAGTACATCACCCACTGCTTGGGAATGGTGATACAAGGAAGAATCCGTCACAGAAAGCAAGCAATCTGCTACATTTTTAACTAAGATTTAAAAGAAGGAAAAAAATAAGGAAAAAAAATCCACATAGGTCTTTCCTCTCTATTTGTCTGCTTCTGAGGAGTAAGCACCAGAGCAGATCTTCAAGGTGCTCACCCCGGGGAGAGGAGGACAGTTTCTGAATTTCTGTCTGTGGCCCATGGAAAGGACAGCAGCACAAAAGAGTGTGGGTGATATACCACCTTAACTTTCAGTCAAGCCAAATTGAGAGCCCCATGCCTGAATGCCCTTTCTGCCATATCAGCCCAAAAAGCTTATGGGAAAAGGGGGGACAAAGACAGGAGAGCAGCCTGCTCTACACAAGGAACAGTAAGGAAAACTGTTGTACACGGGCACATCAGGACAGCTGTTGAGGGAAAGCAGCTACATCCACTCAGGATAGCAGTCGTGCTCCAGAGCCAGGACGATGGGCTTGGCTGCTGATAGCCAGGTGGCTCTGTGCCAGAAAGCAGAATTGCAAGAGCTTTGCATTTCAGTGTTTTGGAGAAACCAGGAAAGGGTTGGGGTCCTAGTAAGTTCTTTCCTCAGGAGAGAACGTAACACATAGGCAAGAGCTGTGGGCCTAAGCTCTTTTCCCAGTGCTGGGAAGATCTCCCAGAGTCCTAAAACATCATTGTTACAGACCAAAAATTACTGATCCAACTGAATGATGCTGTTGCTAAGCAATCCAGTCACTTTGTTCCCTCTGTATGTAAACCACATCACTTTCCTGAAGTTAGATGCAGGACATAGGCGCATTTGGCACTGTCCACCGCCAGCTGAGTCCTCTGGAGTCTTCAGGACTTTGATTCAGACTCTTTTGTTTGGCAAATAGGAAAACTGAATGCATAGCAGTCTGCACCAGTTGAATCTTTATTTGCTTCACACATAAAGCCTATCTAATGTCAGCAAGCAAGGAGTGCTTGTGAATGAAAAGCTGCAGACACATCTGTTGGTTTTAAGAAAGGGGACTGCAAAATTTTCTTATCCTCTCATGCTCATGCTCTTATTGTGGCAAGTATTTTAAATGTCAGCTCCTCAGGATTATCTCAGAGCTGTATGACCAATTCCCAAACTATGTGCATCACTGGGAATACCAGTGGTTCCACAGCACATCCAAACTCACCCTGAAACACTGCAAATAAAAGACTGTGGGTTTAGGATTGCTTTTTAAACCAAACGTTTCTTTTAAAAGATAAGAGAATGGCTATTGTCAAGCTAAAAGCTGAAGAAAAAATTACTATATATATGGTAGTTTTTAAATGTATCAGTCATTTATATTTCTTTATGAGGAAAAAAAATTGGCTGTAGTTGCAATCAGTCTTAATTCATTCTTTATTGCTGCTCTGGTTCTGTGTTATTTGAGCTGGTTTAACTGTTAAAAGCGTTTCAAATGTTCACATGGTCTGCATTACATTACAGAATAAAAGTAAGTACAGCTCACCAAATGTAACTTTCTGAAATGTAAACCACATGAATTTGATTTCTTTGTGGTACAACTTTAATTGGGTTCAGAGGTCTTTTGGTCTTACCTGTCTATCTGCTCTCTGATGGCCTGACCTGATAAAGCTAATACAAAGAATCTGCGAATGTGATCCAAACTGATTACCCTCAGTTACAGTACATGGCTTTATTCTTGACAGTAACGGCCCTTTAGCCTGGTTCATTTTGAGGCTGCAAGTTTGAACCCTGGAGCCACCACTGAACTGGGAGCAGAAAAGTCACAACTTATATTAAAAGATTTTTGCCCTTGCAACTCTGTAAGATGAGAGAACGGGGGGGAACAAGAGCACCTAAGTGCAACAATAAGTGATCATGTCTCCTAGAAAACCTGCATGAGCATGCATGCAGATGCTTGCCTCACAATGCCACAGCAAATGTCACAACAGAGAATGCATCCAACACACTATGTAACAGAGAAGGAACTGTGAACAGAAATTCCAACAAAGTCTGAAATCTTCAGATACTGATCTTAAGCTGATTTCAGATTGTTGATTTTTTCCTTTTTTCCTATGCTGTGTTCCCTTGATGAGTCATCATTCACTCATCAACCCTCCTCTCTGTTGCACTATGTTGTGCCATATGCCTTGCTAGAGTGAAACAGCAGAACTGCTGCTTCCCACCCAGAAAAGCACATCAATATCTCAGCATCAACATGGAAGGCACTGTACAACAGGTACACTCACCTCATATCCTGTGACCCAACTTGTAAACATAGACCTGTATCAGCTTGTGGGAGTAGATCTGGAATTAAGCAGACAGCTCAGGAGAAATGTAGGTAGAAAAGGAGCAGTGTGCTGAAATACTAAAAGTCCCTTTGCCTGGTTAGATGGTTTTCTTGGTTTTGCAATGCACTGCCTTGATTTTGAAAAAGTAACATGAAAAAGATTCACAGTGCCCATAGGTCTTGGAAGAAGATACCATAGAAAGAAACACTCAGCAGACCCAGTAATAAAACAACATAACCCAATATTGAACATTACTCAACTAAAACTTCCACTGTAATTCATAAGTTTCATTCAAGTAAGTAAATCAGTAATAAGTAAAAACATTACAAGTCATCTAGTTCTGGCAAATTACATTCTGTTTTCCCTACTGGAAAACACACACACACACACACAAACCCTTTTAAAGCCAATGTAGCAAAATTTTTAGGCTAATATTTTAAATCCCATTCCTCAAAGCTGTTGTTTTTGTCATTTTTTCTACAGTTCTATTACTGAGCATTGTCCTGTACCAGTAGAACTGTCCTCCCAAGTAATTTCTACCGGTGAATATATGAGGTCCCTTAATTATTTCCAGGTTTTTCCAATAAGCGGTGTTAGACAGAGAGCTAAGAGCTGTGTTGCCATCATGCAAATAACAAGGCAGGGGCGTCTCTATTTTCCTGTTCATCTAATGGGCAAGGGGGAGGAGTAAGAAGGAAATTTATACCTCAGTGGCGGGGTTTTATTGTAACACAGAACAGTTTTTTTGTCTTAGAGTCATTTACACCCTCTTCAAGGACACAGCTTACAGCTTCCCAACTTGGTCATAAGGAAAATTGAACATTTCCAAGGATGCTTCTTCCAAAACAAAAATTGATTTTTTTTCCCCTTGAGGCTTGAAATGTGGTTTTGTGCTTTTGTTCTCGATCCCTGTTTTCCTTTATATATGGGGTTTTGCTTCCCTCTGCATTTATGGGTTCTGCTTGAGTCCAATATTGTTTCTAGCATTTGCTTTATAGGACTTAGGGCCCCACAACCCTTGATTTGCATTAACGTGCAACAAAAAGCTCCATGCTACTAAACTGTGTACAGAAAAAGACCAGACTGGAAGGGACCCCAGCTTTCCCCACAGAGAAATATAGTTTAACTTGATGGATTCTGGAATGAACTTTGCCTATTATGTTTTATATAGATTTTGAATAAATCCTCTGAGCCACAAATTTCTTATTGGAACAATAGAACTATATAGAGGCCAGGGGAAAATTTGGAAGCAAGTATGGATTTTATTCCCTGTCATGGAGCCCAGAATCCATATCTTTCTCCACATCCATTTAGTATGGCACAAAAGGAACTCACTGCCTCCTTTCTCCCAACTTCCTTTGCTACTTCACAGTAGAAATATTATTTTGCTTCCTCTTTTACTTCCCTATAGATCAGAAACAATTCAACAACACTCTAGGTCTCTTTCCTCTGTGGAACTGGAGCAGACTGCAGAGAAAGAAGAAATTAAAGCAGACTAAAAAGGCAATTAATTGTAAAGAGGCAACATTTTCACACAACTCTTCCACTTGATGTCTGTATTAATAGGCTCTGATTAGATAATCTACTGGCTACATATCTTCAGTCTGGACTTAGTTTACTACCTGTGCCATGTAATCTCAGACAAACAAAATCACTCGAAACAAGCACAAATTGAGAGAAATAATATGAAATCTGTTCAAATTCGATCTCCTTTGATTATCAGCAACAGTTCATGTCTTCAAATGTTGTACTTGTATATCAACCAGAATCAGTCGTCCATACCAGCCTGTTGAGTTTAAGACTTTCTTGTTTGAATATTTAAAAACTACTGCTGCCTTTTGCCCACTTTCTTTATGTTCATTTACATCTGCTGCACAAAAAAGCTACATCAACTACTCACATCAATAATGAATTAATGAAGTCCAGCATATCCAAAGAGAGATTCCTTCACACACATTAAGTCAGCAGTTCATCTCACCAGGGACAGTTTCCAATAACAGCTCAAAAACACTTGCTGAGAACACAAGCTTCAGCCATGAGTACGTCAGGAAAGCTTTCTGCACGCAGCTCTGTCCAGATGCTCCAGGAGAGCATCACTATTCAGATTTTCATATCTCTTACACATCTTTCTGTGCAATACCTGGGACAACACTACTGCATGTTCCAAGCCAGGGACTTATGGCATGAGAAACCACATGTCAGAAGAGGAAGCCAGATATTCAACTGTAGCTAGCACTTGCTTCCAAAGTGCTTAAAGGGTCAGAGAGCAGCACCTTGCAGCTGAATTGTAGTGGCTGATCACTCTCTAGACACCTCAGACAACAGCTTATCTAAGATATGACAAGCAACATCCACCATACAAGGACTAATATGTTGTCTAAATGTCCAGCTGCAGGTGTGAAAGGGAACGCTCACAGCAGTGTGAGCTGCAAGCTCAGGTTAACCAACCAGGAAACCCAATTCATTACTCCAAGAAACTTTTCAGTATGCATATCTATTTGTATTCTTTTTAGGTCATCTTACTATCAAAGGTGTGATCACCCTGTCTTTGTTTGGGCAATCACAGATATTTCTATACCGGGGGAAGGGGGGGGGGGGGGGGGGGGGGGGGGGGGGGAACACGGTGAGGGGGGAAGAAGGAAAAAAAACCCTAAATAAACATGCTTAATGCTGGGAATGCTGAGAAGAACAACATATCTCTAAACAAACACTGAATGGTTTTCAAGGAAAATTGTGGATTCCTCAATGTATACAATGATCCCAAAGATGTCAGGTTGGATTTGAACCCACGTCAGAGATCTTTAGGGACTATTGGATGTGTGTAATCACTCTCAAAACCACCATGAACTGAACAAATGGTTCAGAACAACTGCTCTGCTAAGAAGTTAGAATTAACATATCTGACTTCTATCCAATTCTAGAAAATTCTCCATTGCTTGAAGAAGACTTACGAAGATCAAAAGGAGCACCAGAAGTATTTCTGTGTAGGATCATTTGATGCTAACCATGCCTTTTTTTTTTTTTTTAAATCTCACCAAAAAAAAGCAAGAGGTGAGGGAACAGAAAAGTATAAAGACACAACCAAGACAGGTTAGAAAATGAACAATAAACACAACTTTTTCTTGTATCACATATGTATATGTGTACACATTGCATTTCAATCTGCAGGGTTAAAAAAGAAGAAAATTGCTTTGAGCCCTCACATTTACAGCAATAGTGAGCCTGGCTCATATAGTTAGAGAACTAGATAAAAGTAACATAATATTCAGAATTCCCCAGGAAGTGCATTCAATTCTCTTAATACTGTCAAATAAGCTAGGGATTTAGATTTCACTCATTTTGAGAAGTGTTCACTGCAAACATTTTATTACCTCAACAAGTTTTATGGACCCTATCAGAACAGCTGCGATTCACTTCACTTGCAGCAGAGGAAACTGGTAATAGCTCAAAGATTGCTCCTTTCATTTCATAAACCAATTAGGACCTGGATCCTATGACTGGAGTAACACAACCCCTTTTTTTACTGGCAAAATTCCACTTCATTTATGTGAGCTCAGAATAAACGTCTCTGTTGGCAGAATGCAGATGGTCATAGCAGCAAATGTTTCTAAAATACACTCTCTAATTTGTTCTTTCTTCCAAGGAACACTCTTCCTGCACTCTCAATCTACCTGCAGGTTCTGTCTAGCCATCAGTGCCTTGTTCAACTCAGCAATTTTTTGCTGAAAAGTGCTGAGAGAATTTAAACTTATGATTTACCATGTGAAACTTTGTTAGAAGGTCTCTAAAATGACAAATTTATTTAAATTATTTTTCCTTCTAAATCAAGATTAATTTCATTTTTTTAAAGGAACTAATTTTCATGATGTTGTCGTCTTAGATTTATCTATGCCCTTGATTTAAATTGTTGGTATTTTGGGGTTTTTTTAGACTGCTTTTTTTTTAAATGTGTATTTGGCCTGTCCATAAGTATAAACAGAACTATATAGTCCCTAAATGGGACTATACTGTACCATTGATTTTGAAAACTCAACTCATCAGTTAATAAGGAGGCCTACTTTTACAGGTGGTAAAATAGGATCCATATACTTTACACACAGTCTATAATTTCCCCCAGGCATTTTTCTCTGAACTATAGTAATTGGTTTTCATCCAGGCACCAGATTTAAAAAAACAAACAAACAAAAACACAAAAATACCAACAAACAAACACCAAAACAAAACAACAAACAAACAAAATTTCCAACCATTCAAAAAAAAAAACAAACCACCGGCGAGACAAACCATGTAAAATCAATGTGTTGTCTGTTCAGTACATCAGTGCCAATTCCCTTCTTGGAATAGATACAAACATAACTTCTCAGTGAGCAACTAAAGTTTTATTAGAGTTGTTTGTCTTCCCTTTTTACTCACTCATTATAGCAATTGAGCCACGCCCAGCAAACCTTTAAGCCCATCTCTGAACTGATATGGTGTAAGAGAGCATCCCAAAGCTTGCTATTTCTCTGGAACCTGTGAATTATGCTCTTAAATGAAAAGAAATTAAAAAAAAAAAAAGCCTTACAACAACCTAAATCTGTATTGTTCGAGTTAGAGTTTTACTGTGGCTTAGTTACCTGTCAAACAGGCTGACACTTGGATAAAACACATACTGGAATCATGCATCAGGGCATGTTAAGTGCAAAGCCTTGATGAAGAACAGAGCTATGTGATTTAGCTAAGCAGAGAGAGTTCTAATGAGCTTTTTCTGGTCTAGGAAAGCTTGATCTGTCATATCAAACCCACTGCAACTCTGAGATCCTCTTCCATCCAGAAATGATTTTACATCTGTTTTAGTTCAAAAAGTCATATAAATCAGAAGCTCTGCCTATAAATTTTGATTACACCTTTAAAGATTTATACAGTGTGTATTATTATATATATATATATATATATATATATGGGAGGTATGTAAGAGATATCAACCACTAAAATTAAGGAATAAATGCTAGATTCTTCAAGTTCTGTATATCACATTTAAGTCCTATTTATGACTTTCTCTGACGTGAGAGCCAACCAATGCCTATGAAAGTTCAGTATTTCTGTTCAGATACAGTTATGGGTGCAGTACACTATTCTGACATTTCTTTCCTATAGTTCTTGGGTGGGACAAGCTTTTCAGGACAGAAAGATCATGATCCATTTCTTAGAAACAACTTGCATGAGAATTGGCTTGAGTGTGGTTTTGCTGCCTATCTCAAACAACCATCAGGAGAGGGCTGGTTTCCCTTCATAATGAAAGACAACAATCCTAATGAGAGTCAGTGGCCAGTAGATCACACAATATCCCTGATACTTTTTTGTGTGTGTGTTCTTGCTGTGAGAAAGCAACATTTCTAACAAGCTTAGGAATTCTGTCAAGTAGAAAATATGAAGCACAAAATACTGTGTTCATTAATAAATTTAATCAACATGTATAACAAGTGCATAAGTTTCAAGTAACAGTTGACTTAAGTCAGATAAGAAACACACTAAGCTCTCTCTATTCCAGGTTGACAGGTTATTTATTACCTAGCTAATGATCCTACTTTCAGACCCCCGAAAGTCACCTTGATATAGGTTGGTACTTTCCAGCCCCAAACTAGACCTTACAGTAAGAAAGAGTTTTTGGAAGGTATGGGAGTGTGTGGCTGGGGATAGAAAAGTTGTGAACAATCACCCCTGTGCCTGACACACAGACTAGTGCCGTTTGCTCTTTTTCTTCCTGACTCAGCAGTGTCAGGAGAGATTGAGTCAGCTGGTCCTGAGCACGCCGATGTAAACAAGAGAGGAGGCTGGGGAGCAGACAGAGCTTCTAAACATCACAGACAGAGCAGCACAGTGTGATCTGCAGATCAATGTGTGGACCTGGGCAGCAGCTTGTTAAAACGGATGAACAGCTTGAACGGATCCATCTCATTTTCTCCCTCATCACCCTCTCTATTAAATGTAAGCTATGAGACAACTTGTTTCTGAGAAAGACACTCTTGTAATTATTTCCTGTGTAATTCTGAGCTTCCCAGAGGCTCGTGGCTGCGCACAAGTGGCTTGATGGAATTCCGTGTTAAGGTTGGCCAAGGTAGTAGAAAGGACTACAGAAAACATATCTTAGCATAAACAGAAGAAAAAGAAGCAGGAACATTAAGCAGCAATTAAAGCCCAACTTTGAGTACAAAGACAGAAAAAATAAAATTTTGACAGAATGACACTCTCAGATGCTCTCTCTCTTCCCACCAATCCCTTTTCCTCCCAGTCCAGTGATCTAACTGATGTTCTTACATCCTGCGCCACCAAGACTGTGGAATGGACTTGATAAAGTGACTGAGTGGTCATTTGATACTTCATCTCTCACTGCACATTTCTTCTCATCTCACAACACACTGTGGTGCTTCAGTTCAAATACATAAGTTGGAATGGAGGCTTTTACCTCAGATGTCCTGGAAAGGGAATTAGCCCTTGAATTTAATAAATGCACATCATTCCATGGACTCTTCAATGCCACACACTCCACTAACTTACTAGGAGCTTAAAGAGAGACTTTTTCTTTTATGTACAAAGATCCTTCTCCATCACTGACCTATTTCAAGTGCCTTCCAAAACTAGCTTCATTATGGAAGGGTTTCTGCCCATGATTGTCTCTTATAGGAGTCTTTTCTGTTTCATCAAGCTATAAAGGATGATAGCAGTATTCTCTGAGAACTTAATCAGCAGTTGCAGTCTCAGATATCTTGCACTACCATAAAAATCCTGTGCTTGCCACAGAGATGATCTATCCTTTTGCCCCATACTGAGGAGTTTAAGACTGAGAAGCTTTTTTTCATTTTCCAAATCGCCAAGACCAGTCACAATGAGTCTGCTCTTCACTGTGTCACCAAACCTCTGTTAGTCCCATTACAGGCAGTTTTCCTGACTACTCCATTTCCCACATCCCTCTGTTTGAAAAGCATTAAACCCCATGAAAAGACAATAAACTGGAACCACAGAGAGACATATGGCATCACGAGAGAGAAGAAAGAGGGACAGGAAGACAGTGCATAGATATTAAAATGAATGCTGCATGTGGGGACTGAAAGGCTGTTCTTCCGCTAGTACCATGCTTCTTCGGTACATCAAGGCACCAGAGGCATCTTCCAAACCCCTTTTGTTGCCTTCTCCTACCTGCTTGCATTTCACCAAATGTGGTTGAAATTTTCCCCTTCTGATGCTGTGCCAGAAGACCACCTTATCTCATTAAAAATGCTCTAGAACACTAAAAACAGATAATCTACATCACATTGTTAGTGCTTTATGTTCACTTTGGAGCCTGAGTTCACTGAAACTCTCTCTCTCCATTTAGTACAATGTTAACAACTTGCTGCATCTGTGACAACCCTCAATCCTCCCATATTCTCTATGAGCTGCAGAGCTGTACCAGTGAGTTTCAAGATGGAATAATTACTAGTTATGTCCAATACTAGCTTGAAAAACTAGTTTGAAAGGAGGTTACCTTCTCCAGGAATGCTGAGCTGTTAGGTTGCAGCTACCTGCAGTATTTGATAGTCTGAAAAACACATCTTTCCTAGCAAAAGATGTGTCCAGATAAAGCAACCAGCATACTGTGTTGTGACCAATTTGTCTGACCAGAATTTTCACACATTGCTATATACTCAGTCACAGAAAAATGGAGTTATTTTAAAAAAGAAGACAAGCACTGCTATTGTACAGCTTAGTTCAGAGTCCCGTATCTCAAGCTGATTCAGCTTATCTGCTTTTCTATACCTATGACAAATGTATGTCTTATATCATTTTTTCTTCCCTTCCTCCATATGCCTTACTGCTTTCCCTCCATGTATCTTATCTCAAAATGATGTGCTATTAATCAGCCAAAGACACCCTTCACTGCTAAGTGTTCCTCAACTGATTTTTCATCGGCACAAGTAGTTACTAGTTACAGCATTCCTCCCACATGCTGAAGCCTTGGCGGAGAGAGAGGAGGGATGGCAAGAAGGTTAGAGACTGCCTTAGCAAATAAATACTATCTGAGCTGCCATTTTGCTGTAATGGTAATGTTGCTCTTTGTTCTCAACAAAATACACACGATAAGAGGGAAGTGAGACTGCACTCAGTCTTATTTTTAAAGATAATAAACTTCATGCTCTTCTCTTTTGATTAATCTGGCTAGATGCCTGTTCAGTAGTATCTGAGGCTTAATACCTGAAACAATGTGTGTATGTATGCTGTGCCAGTAAGGCTTACCCAACAATGCTCATTCTGTCCTGTTTTCCCATGCATTGTGTCAATATCGCATTTTATATGCAAGACCCCAGAGTAGGGGATAGGAAAAAAAGAGAGGCATGGAGGGAAGGAGGGAGAGGGATGGAGGGAGAAAGAGGAGAGATGAAAGTAGGGAAAACTTACATCCCTTGGGAATGTCAGCTGCTATAAACTCGCCCACTCCTCACCATGAAACGAGCTGTGTGCGGGCACAGGTGGGTCCCATTCTCTATTACTAGAGCCCAGCCTATGAACAGGGGCTAAATGAAGACTTTCATTGCTGTTCCCTGTTTTCATTGGAGTAAGGCCATCATAAACGTTTGCAGGTGGCTTGGCCATAGTCTGACACTAAAATATTTGTGGTTGTGATAAAAATCAGAATATTGCTACAAGATGGTTCTATATAACCTTTAGGGCTTGATCCTGTTCTTACAGAACTCAATGAGAGTTTTACCCAATTGCTCTCTGAGGGTTTTATTGCTCATTAAAAAGCATATTCCCTGGAACAATTCTTCATGGTAAGGACTCATCTGCCCTTTGGGGTAGCTTCGGATGATTTAAAAAAAGGAGAACCCAATCAAAACTCACTGATTTGAGCACTTCAGAATTTGGGCTTGTTAAACGGCTGAACCATCTCAACTTTGTAAGGCCAAATCGAAACAACCAAACTTTGAAGAACTCAAATATTTTCTGAATCCATCTGGATTTTTCTTCAGTTGTCTATACCAAAACCATTGTCCAGTCTGTATTCCTCATGAAAGAGTCTTGGATATAATTCTTAGCACATTTGGAAGGATAAGATGAAGATAAATGGAAATGACAAGATATTCTCTTTGAATAAATAAAACACACCACAGAGAAAAGACTGAGGGAAAAGAGGACAAACAAGGATGCTCAACACTTTGGCAAGTAAATGAAGTTGAAAATGTAGCAATTATCTCCTAGGACACACCATGAACAAAAAACAAAACCTCCTAGGAAGAGGGAAGAATGGGGAACAGAGTATGTTGGGAGTCACACCATAAGTCTCATTCACACACCAACTCACACAGAGACTAAAATGCTTGACAGTTGCTTCCCAATAAAGCAGCTTTAGACTCAGACTTAGGAAACGTTTGTGTGTTTCAGTCACAGGGAAGAATTAAGATTTGTCATGACAAAATTTCCCAAATGACACATACCACTGACTAGGAAAAGGCCCTTTTATCCACAACCCCTCTAACTTTGGAGATTCTAATCACCATGGCCCCAAACCAACACAAACTTAAAACCTGACTGACAGGGTCTTGCAAAACCACACGCAGTTTTTTTCTCATTATATGGAAACAATTGTTTGGAAGCCAAGTACAGTCCCACATAAAACACCTCACCACTGCGTATTAAAAGTTGTTTGGGTTTTTTTAATGTTTTTAATTAGGATTATAATTACCACTAGACCTATTAAGTCACAATTCGAACAGGAGCTTAATCATCTTTAACGCAAATAATGGCATTAGTTAATGTTTTTCTTTCTAAAACTGTAAAAGAAAGTGTTTCTTCCTCCCTCCCTCTCTCCCAACCCCCTGTCCATGAACAGAATGAGACATATATAAGACAAACACTTTCTTGGATTCATAGGCAAATTGTATTGCACACGAAATCTCAGTGAATACTGTGTTTTGTTAATATGTAACACATACAAAGGCACATCTATCAAATATGTTTACCTGACCTATCTTATCAGACTTATGCATTAAGAACCAAATCCTGAAACAGTAGAAAAAACGAAAATAGAGGAGCTTGGCCAGGAGCAAAAAACTGGAGCAGCAGATGGAATCCATGTTCTGTGCATGACTGGGAGAGGTCAGTGCCCTGGGCCATCCCTGCTACCATGGAATACATAGAGCCTGTGGCCTACATCCTCCCCCAACCACCAAGAATCTTGAAAGAAAACACAAGAATAACTGGATTTTGAGTTTTCAGTTTTACTCTGAAGGGACTGCAAGTTGATCATCAATTATTTAGACGATGACTGGGGACAGAAACTGCTTTTGCACCTACCATATAATGGATGTGACCAAATTACAAATGATAGATAATGAATCTAGACTGCTGCTTCTTTCTTAGTCCACTAATATATCTTTTTATCCATACATTTTCATGCATAAAACCCCCCAAATTCTCAGAGCTGTGTGATGAAAAACTATACCCTCAAGCCATCTGGACAGTTTCTGTAGAATTAAAAACAAGTTATTGTGACTTCGAGAACCTCATGCTTGCTGGAACTAACCAAGTGTACAAAACATGGATAGTTTTGTTCACACAGTTCTCTAAACATGAGCACACAGTTGGCATTCAAAGCAATACAATAAGCATCCATACTGTCAATTTATGGTAATAAATATGGATCCATAATCACAGATTGAGCAACTGTTCACAGAGATCACTGTGCCAAACTCCATTTATTTTTATGGTGTTTTTGTCTTCTAACATTCCTTAATTAAACAGAGTACATAGAAAATAGCCCAATCCCACAGAGCACCCTGAACTCCCATGGAAGGAAGTGAAAGGATCAGCTTCACAAACACTTTTTCTTTCCAGAGCAGTTAGAGAAACATGAACTTTGAATATAAGAAGATAAAAACAAAAAACTGGATGGAGAATGCAGACTTCCCAACAAGTATAGCATTCTGCCCTTTTTGAACCAGAGTGTCAGGTCTGGAATAACCTGGCCATTCCCTCACAGTCTGCGACACAGGTTGCAGGGGTCCTTGCTGCATGCTGGCAGGGTCAAGTACAAACACTGTAACCTCAAAAACCACAAGAACAACATCTGGTCCTGCATGCAGCTGAACTTTAAGAACCACGAGGACAACATCTGGACCTACATGCAGCTGCTGGAGCCAGAGAATGGGAGAAATGAGAAAACAGAAATGGACTCACCCAATCTGTCGATTTGTGGAAGGTGCTTGTGTAATGACAGAACTGGACTGTGGAGATGGCATGGCTTGTTGAATCACAACGCTGGTGTCATGGTTTGGCATTCTTGTGTTTGTCAGCTGGTGAGATCCAGGTCCTGCCATCGCTCCTCCAACTGTGTTATGCATGGAGATATTCTGTGAAAAGAAAGGAAATGGGAGATGGTAAAAGAAAATGAAAAGAAATAAATGTCTTATCTTGGTTTTCTGTTCTACAGGAGTACAATCAGAAATCTGAAAGTATCAACAACATGGATCCTGGTAAATCCCAAGTCCATAGATCTTGTTATAACCTACAATGATAAAGAAATGAAAAATAACTATTTATACTTTCAAGGGCAATATAAACAGAAAAATACCCTCAAGTTGACTAATCACTCTTCTGTGATTCTGTCTTGTGATTTATAATGGGGATATTCAGCACATATTCTCCTAACTGAACACCATATGAGTGCAGGATACCTTGATTTACTGCATGAGTTGTTTAGTGTGTACTAGGTCTGCTTAGACTGACAAGCAAATCAAGTTTTACAGTTATAGAGTAACAAACAGTATCCCATACATCATGAAACAGCCATTTCTATTAGCCTCCGTATATTTTGTAGAGCAATAATATCCCAGAGGGTTAGAATAATAACACTGTATTTTCACATATATAACCTTTGCTTCAGGTAGTTCAGAGCTCTTAAAAGGTTCTTACAAAAAAAATTTCACAGATATCTCATATCCACTGAGCAAACAAGCCACAAGAGACCAGGATACTACTAAGGAAGGAATCATGGAATAAGACTTCTCTCCTGTTACGGCTGTACATTCAATACACACTGCTGCTGAACCACAGGGTTTGACTTGGCCTGCGTTTAAAAACAAATAAACCCACAGTGTATACATATGAAAAGTATGGTATCCTTGAGAGCATTATTTTTCCTATCAGGCATCAACATGTGGATTGTTAGCAGCAAGAGGAAAAGAAACTTTCCATTGTCACCTCATGCTAGGCTGAGGAGAAGGGGAAAAAAAACTCCTTTACATGCACACTGCCACCAAGACTCAGACAAAGCATCTCCCTGACCACTGCAATACTCAGGATTAAAAAAACCAAAGCTATATTTCATTCAAACCCCCCCCCAAAAAACCAATAGATAAAGTTGGTGAGAAAGGAAATTCAGAGCTCCGATCAAACATGGAAGACAGAAAAGGCAGACAATATGTTGAATCCTAGACCTAAAAGAAAGATTGTATTCTGATATTTCTCATGGGAAAGGAGAGCTAATAATTAGAGGACCGAAATTAAAAGCATTATCTGTCATTCCCCTATCTCCCAGTTTTCATATATTTCATGTGATTTCCAGGATAGCGTGGACACAGGAATCTCTGCTTCTTTTACAGGAGTTGTTCCACTCTTCATTAACACATAAAGAGGTAGAGGTGCTGCCTACAGTGGTATGGTTAGACCACTCACACAGAATTAAGAAGACCCAAGCTATGAATTCCTCTTCCAGTAAATAATTTACACATTACAAATCAGGTCTAGGAGCTCCTTATTCTCTTAAGTATTCACTTAAGGAGCATGAATTGCAAGAGGAAGCCAGACCAAGGACCTTAACCCTAATTTATCATAGCACAGTAGTATGTCATGACCATCAGGTAGTAACCTTAGATATATGGAAACTTTTCCAAAAGAAATTCTCCCTCTTCTACCACATTCCTATTTAAATGTCACTTCTTCAACAGATTACTGTTTTCTGATGAAAAACCTGCTCATTTTAATATATATATATATATATATATATAATCTCAGAATTCAAACTTGCACTGACTTTTTTGATCATTACAAGATTTTGCAAAAGCAGGTCTAATATCTATCCATGTGCAAGTAAATATTTTAATGCTATCACTTCCTGAAGCTTCTCCTTTTATATCAGGTACCGGTGCTTCAATTAAAACCTATCCATATGTGATAGTTACTTGTTTCAAAGTTCATCCTCATTTAATTTCTCCTTTACACTGCCTCCACAGTTTCTGAATGCTCCCAATTATTTCTGTATTGCCTGTTTGCTTTCAGTAGTACGTTTAACAGAGCAAATATTAAATTGAGGAGAGGCATACAGTACTTGTACCTCTGTATATATATGGGAGCAGCAAAGATGAAAAGCATCAGTCACCACAGTGAGTTTGCTCTGCAGTGCCTTTGCCATTGCCAGCACACACACCTGCCTTGTTTCCAAAGAGGGCTGTCTGGATGAGGCCAGAGCATCGGCATGAAACTGCCCAGGATTCAGAAAGTCTTTCTCTGGAATTTGCCCAAATTTTTACTGGACTTTTTTGTACCATGGCAGGGCAGAACTTGAAGATTTAATATCTGATGACTGTGCTCCTAGATTTGGTATTTTCTTTTCCTTCTGTTCCCATTTTCTCTTATAATTCCAGAGCTCTCTAAGGTACGAACGGTATAAATTATGATGGGTATGGAAAATTTTGCTTGCCCGTAAGACATTGTAATTGTTAGCTTACATGCATAAACTTGAAATACAGTTTCAAAGTGTTAACAATTCCCAATAAACTGCCTGTTTTCAGAAAGTAGGCTAAATAAGTGATGCATGGAAGGCAAAGGCAGAACAAAAATCTGTCAATGCAGAGATCTATTCTTCTCAGTAATGCAACTGTTGTTGGGCAGAAACTATACCTTTATGCTTCCAAGTAAAAGCCTGAGATTTCCCAACAAAACATCAAACTCAGCATGACTTGACATTCATAAGAAAAGGATTTGGCCATCTCAGAATAATTTACATTGGTGAGATGCCTGTGAATTTAAAGAGAAGATCAAGCAAGTTCATACTTTAATGACAATACCTATGCTTTGAAAAATGGCAGTAAGGTAATGCACAATAGATCTGACACTAAGCCTATCTGATCTCCTTGTACACATCATGACATGCAGAACGACTCTGTATCACCAGCACAGCAAGACTAGGCTCGTTGTGTGTGTGATGCAGGCAGTCTTCAGAACTCCCAAAATGGCCTTGCTGTGTGGAGCTCTGCACCTGGTTCTGAATGGGTCTGGATAGGATATTAATGAGTTCCTTGAAGGCTCAACTTTTGGCCCTTACAGAAACAGGAAAAATTCAGCAACGTTGGCTGAAACAAAGACCTCCACTTTATAGTTGAATTGTTGCTTGGTTAGGCTGCTTGCAGCTCTACTTTTAAGGAGCTCTGCATGCTCTTCCACCAGGGATCCAGAAATGACATCTCATTTGATTCCCCTTTTCGTTATCCTCCAGCTCTTAAGCCAAAGGTTAAGATTATTTGATACTAGGTAGGGAGTTCCCAGCATTCCAGCTCAACGTCTACAGGAGCAATAACACAGACTGAGCTCCCCCTCTACTTTTAACATTCCCAAGACCCATCTATACTCTGAGACACACACACGCTCAGAGTTTTCTCTAATATCTTCACAATTCTGCTTCAGCACTGGAAGACAGCATATGAGCTTATTATTATTATCTATTTTATTAAACTGAACATAAGTGTTCACACAGGGAATAGGCCACCCTTATATCAGGAGCTGTAGAGACACAAAAGTCATCCCCTGCTCCTAGAGATTAATTTAGTGAATCTTAATTATGATCCTCTATATTAAGAGAATTTATGTCCTTTAGGACTAAGTTTCATCCTCACTAAAGCACCCAGTCACTCCCACTGAAGCAGAAACTAGGATTATAACACTGAAGAGCTTTTATAGAAATGCTCCCCTCGCCCATGTGCTCATGCAGTACTCTCCATCAGCATTTAACATTCAAATAAATAAACCAAAAAGCAACAAGCCATATCCACAAACCACTTTTAAATCAATGTGCTTATTCTCAACCTTTCCAGCTGCAAGTGGAAAGCTAACAGATCATCATCATCTTAACTTCTCCCCAGTTACACTTTATTTCCCATTTTAGCTTCAGACTTTGAAGAAAACATTTGAGCATTTTTCTCCCACGTGCAACCATTTAACTTTGGATAGGCAACACACTTTTTTTTTCTAAAGGCTAGAAACTTCTTGAAGTCATGCTTCCATGTTCTGGTGGAGAGGATTACACATCACTCCACAAGAACACACACCCTCTTGGCAAGCACAGCAGAGAAAATACGGATTCGCAGACACAGGGAAAATACATCCCATGACTCCAGACAGTCACCATTTGCCCTAAACTCTGTTTCTTCCAGAGAAACACCCATCCATGTCACACAGCACCACCTGTGTGACCCATCACCACGTACTGAAGTCAAAGGATGAAAACAACTGATACATCCTTTAGGACCTCTTGTAATATGAGCTTCAAACAGAGTTTGTTTGTGATTTTAAACTATAAGAGCTAGTTTCTGAACCAAAGTCAGTTTTTATTTTCCTACTATCCTTTTTTAACAGTGAAGTTTAGTAAAAATTGCAAACAACAATTTTATACAAACTGCAGACTATTCAAGATTGGTTTGTGTAAACTTTTAGATCAATAGATCTGTCACCTATAAGCAGTTGTACATAGAGGTATTTTACAGACTATTACATAAATTCTTAAGTCAGAAGGCATTTGTCATGAAAAAAATGAAATAAAAATGTAATTAATTTTAACAAAAACAAAAGCACTTTTTGCACTTTTTTCTGTTTTCTGCAAAGAGTCATTTAACTATATTTTCCTGCACAACAACTTAAAATATTTTTCACATAGTTCAAGAGAAAAGGCATAAACTTTAAAAATTATAGAGAGAAATCAAATATACAACACTATTTTAGAATTCTTATAGCCTGTTCTCTCAGTGAGAGACAAGGACAAATATTCTAAGATGATACACATTTAAATGGCAGTTACATATGGACTTTTAAGAAGTGTACAGTACTATCTTATCTGATTATTGAGATCATAACTTCACAATACATGTAATACACACGAGTGTATTTCACCTGTTGCACATGCTGCTTACCCAACCAAAGAACCTGCTGGCTTAAAAACTTGGAAGACACTGTTGTAAGGAAAATTATAGACTAAATGTGGCAAATAATGGCAGGCTTCAAAATTATTTTAATCATATTCAATCTCCATGAAAATTATTAAGTCTCTATGAATTCTCTCCTGACAGAAGAGAAAGATAAT